GAGTATCCAGGGCACCAAGGCTGGGACCACAAGAACACTGCCTGCCTCCTCTGCCCAGTGAGGTGGGCTTGCCTTGAGCAGCAGGGCTGACAGCTGCTCCACCAGCAACAGCAGTAGCAGGCCCCAAAGGAATGCTGCTACGTGGTCCAGCCAGACTCCTGCTTATGTCCAAGTTCTCTTTGGGGCTGAGGTGGGACAAAACGAACCCCAGTGCACAGCTCTTCTCAGGGACAAGGGACCAGGAACCAAGGCTGGGGTGTGACTCAGCTGATAGGAGTGCTTGCCTGGTATGCACATACACTAGGCTCTGGGTCTAATCCCCAACACTGTGTGTGTTCAGCACCCTCCTTACCCTATAGAGGACACGGCAGCTCTGTTATCTAAGGGCACAGCAGGTTATTCTGTGGGCGGCTGTGTTATAGTCTACTGAGCATATCCATGTGGGTACTGAGCGCCAGTACACTCCAGTAGTAAGAGCTGCAAGGACACACTTTATTGAGCACCTTCACCAAGCACCACAGTGTTGCTCCCATGTTCATTAATAAGCTGCCTTTGAGGCGGCCTATTCGAAGTTTCCTTTGTGCTCTCATCTCCATTTGCTAACGGAAGGTGCATGGCTAGGCAGGCTTCGAACACTTAAAAAGGCAACTGTCACGAGGTGCTTACCTGTGCATCACTGAGGACTGGTCCAGAAAACAAAAGATGGTGACTGATGGGCACATAGGGACTGGTGGCTGTACATTACCAGGGAGGGTACCAGAAAATTTCTGAGGCCATGTAGGTTTAGGTTTGGCCAACAATTAAAAAAAATATAACCAGGGGCCGAAGAAATGACTCAGTGGTTAAGAGCACTGGCTGCTCTCGCAGAGGCCCCGAGTGGGGTTCTCAGCACCCACATGGTGGCTAACAACAGTCCTTAACTCCAGTCCCAGGGGATCTGACACCCTCTTCTGGATTCTGTGGGCACTGCACAACACAGGTGCACTTACATTCATGCAGTCAAAACACATAAAATAAAAATAATTTTATTTTTTTAGTTATAACTGGAAGAAACCCCACGGTAGACAGGTCTGCCATCGGGTCAAATGAAAGGCCAATGGCCTTTGACAGTTGAGCAGCTCAGCACAGCCTACACATCAGCTCAGACTCCCTGTATGGGTTCTAGCTGGGGGCTCCCAGGTCCAGGACCCAATCTCCTTGGGATTTTCCTCTAATTCTGTGGGTGGAGAGGGTAGGCCCCAATTCCTAACACTGAAGCCACTTTTCCAAACCTACGAGTCTCTACTTCACAACATATCTGAGACACAGGTGAGGGTCACATGGGACCTAAGAAGTTAGGTGACTCAAGATCAAGGCTGGACAAAAGCAGGACTGGAAGTCAGGCCTCCAGGTACACAGGCTAATGCATTCTCCAACTTCCCTGGAAATCGCAGACCCCATCTAGCAGGGGAAGCTGGTTCCTGCACAGGCCTTTCATACTATACACCAACTCACTGTCACCTGACTGGAAAGGAGTCCTGCACAGAGGGCGAACTTTCCAGCAGTTCTGACTCATAACAGTGATAGTCAACTTGTGAACTCATGCTTATGTCCCAGCCTCACTGCCCTGCTTGACCGTCTTGAAGACATAAGCCTCCTCACTAAAACTTGCTATTTACTGTGGTGCCAGAGCCTAAGGACACATTGATTGAATAATCCCACTAGTGACTATCCAGTACAAATGCAAGCCAGGTACTGCTCAAGTCTGTTAAGGAGTGGTCTAACCTTGAGAGGCTGCTGCAGGGAAGAAGGGCTTCCGATCTGGGGGAGGGGAAGGGAAGAATAGGAGGAAAAAGAGGAGAAGGAAGTGTGTCCTGGGGAGCCTGAGTGCAGACCTCCACTCTGGTCACGCCAGCAAGGACGAGACATGCCAGCAGTTTTCTATTTCGTCAGTTGTGGCACAAGAGCCTCTTAGGAAACACCTGGCTTTCAAAAAGCAGTGGTTACAGAAACTGATAGGGCAGATGTTTGTCAGAGGCAGGGTGCTCAGGGAGGTTGTGTGCGTGTGCATGAGAGAGAGAGAGAGAGAGAGAGAGAGAGAGAGAGAGAGAGAGAGAGAATGAGAATGAATCCAGAGACCACAACATGGTTGCTCTAGCAGCATTTTTATTTACAAACAGCAATTTCCATTGACTTTATACCATAAAAAAGCCATTTACAAGCAAGAAACAAGAATTCAAAACAAAATTAAGCAGCACTGAAATAGTCATGTCACAAATCTAAAACAAAATGAATACGAGAGTAAAATATCATTTGAATAAATAGTCTTAACCCATGCTATAAAATAACCCTTGATGGCAAGTTACCGGTTGGTAAGCATCCGCTCAGCGAGTTTCATTTACTTCATGTGGGGATGAAGTGTGGCATTGTGAGGTCACCGGTTTATATTGCAAGATAATGACACTGTGTTAAGTCATTCAAATTGCTCAACCATTTATAACGGAAAACAATGTTAGCCCTACTAATAAAGTGGAGAGAGATGGTTTCACATTAGAAAAATGGTCATTCTCAGACAAGCCAGGTGAGTTTACCTCTTACTCTAGTCAGGGCAGCAACCAGAGGCTCTGTCTGCAAGTCCCGAGGTCACATTCACAGCATACTTGTCACTGAGAGGCAATAAGAGGTCTGTGCACTAGATCTGCCACTCGGAGCACCGAGCAAGACTGGCTCCAGGAAGTTGACCAGGAACAGCAATAGCCCTCTCTGTGCCAGACCCAGGGAGGCACCTGGAGACGTCAACACTGAGTACAAACAGTGGGAACACTGGCACTTACTGGAAAAGACGCATATGACGCGTGACGACCGTTACAAATTTGGAACAAAGTGAATGACTTTTCTGAACTTTCAGTTCAGTTGCACTGAGTAATATGAAATCTATGATTTATGAACTAGATAGTTTCATATAAAGAATTTACATAATTCCCCAATACTTTCATATATAAAATTTAATAAATAACCCTGACCAGTCTAGAAGCACCATTCAAGGGGCATGTGCCCTTGGAAAATAGTTTAGGTGTTGCATATTTGAGTCCCTTTCAGTGGAGGCTTCACAGGAAACCATTATAGAATTTAACAACAAGGACGAAGACGACACAACAAAAATATCACAGTAACGAACAGAAAAGGTTAAAACGAAACACACTGGTCTCTTAAAGTAAAGCTCATTCACATAGATGATTGCCCCTAGCCCTTGTTTTGTGTTCCTGCAAATCTAGGTTGTTAAAAATAAAAATCACACACAAAAATATGCAGGCCTGTGGTCTGGGCTCAGGGTACAACAAAGAGTTGGTTATAACTGTTCTCCGTAAGAGAGACAAACACTCACGCTCTGGAAGATTTAAAATTACCAATTTAGATCTACAGTATATTCTGCTTAACAGTGAACCGACAGTACCCTTTCTGTTTAAAAAAAGACAAAATAAAACCAAAAAGAAAAAATTAAAAAATAAAAATGGGCTGGGTGTGGTGGCGTAGCATCTTTAATCCCAGCACTTGGGAGGCAGAGGCAGGCGGATCTCTGTGAGTTCCAGGCCAGGCTGGTCTATAAAAAACAGCTATTGAGCGAAAAGATTTTTTTTTTTTTTTTAAAAAAAAGAAAAAAAAAAAAAAAAAAAAAAAAGGAAGAAGGAAGAAGAAGAGGAGGAGGAGGAAGAGGAAGAATTGCCAAGGCAGAGCCAATTGGTTGGGAGGCTTTCCCATGGACCAGAAAAATTAACTTGTCTTCATATACTGTATTTACAAATATAATTTCCAGATGTATTTACAGCTTTAGTAGAAATTAGAGGGTAGAGAACTGATCAGAATGAAAAGAACTTTGAAAACCACACATGTTAGCAAAAGTAGAAAACATCTTGTCTTCACAGTCTGTGTAACGGGTTAAAGGTTGGTAGAAAAGGGCGTTGCCAGTCTTCACATTGTCTGATACAGAAAAGGTAGCTCAGAAGGGACTCAGTTATCAACAGGCCTATAGGAATTCAGGATATATTTCACTGTAAAAGATTTCTTCACATATCACTTTATCTTAGATGATTTCTGCATCTGTTATAAATGAAACACCTAACCTAAAACTGTACAGGAACAGGGACTTCACTTTCCAAAAAGATTAGCTCTAAGGAGTTACACAGCAAGCTTCGTCTGTGGAGACCTGGAGGGAACTGCGGGGGGAGAACACTTCTGTTCTGAGGTTGTGTTAACCCTCCGGACACATCCTCCCTGCCGCAAGGCACAATACACCACTGCTGCCCAGCCTGAACCGAGGGCCCTCACAGCCATGCCCACCCCAGGCACCAGCTCAGGCAGGCTGGCAGTGCCGTGCTGGCCTGGGCGCTGCCTCCCTTGAAGCCCTGCGAACTTTACAGTACTGTGTTATGGCTTGAGAATTCATTCTTAACACTGCGAGCAGTGGAGAGGGTCAAGTGTTAGCGATAGGAATGGGAGCAAGCGCACCTTGTACAATGCGGAATCAGGATTATTAGAGAGAACTCCAATCGATCTTCTGTCCCTTAACAGTCCCATTACAATGTTTGAACCTGAACTGTACAATCAAAGCAATGTATATTTTTTGTCAAAGACAATTTTGGATAAGTCACTCTTTGGTAAACTCAAACCAGCTAAACAAGTTTATAGACACAAGAACTCCATTAAATAAGGTTCAGACGACAGTGACAAGAGCCAGGACATGGAGGTGCTACCTACCCCAAGCACACTCCCTCACTTGTCTCATGGAAAGCTCTGGAAACCTCAAGGAAGGCCCCGGGCCTGAGTGAAGACGAGGTCCCTTCCCTGAGCCTGACTTCTCACGTCCTCGGATCTGGGCCTTTCTTGTCACAAACGTAATTGGTATCACAACACTCATTTTTTTTTTTTTTTTTTTTTTTTTTTTTTTTTTCAAAAAAAAAAATTAAAAAAAAAATATTTTTGTGAAAAAAAAAAAAATTTTTTTTTTTTTTACTTATTTTTTTTTTTTTTTTTTTTTTGCATTTAGTTCTCAAAAAGAAAAATTAAAAACAAAACTTATTCGTGTAAGAAAAAGAAAAACTACAAACATTTACCTGAAACCCCAGAACATACTTAAGTGGGTAAACACTTGGGGTCCAGCCTCCCCGTGAGGCACGCGACTTTATCAGGAGTCGAGTCTGTGCTTCAGGGAGAGCAAACCCGGACTTAGGCAGTCTGACGAGGAAAAGGCATACTATGTACCCGATTAGCAAGAGCTGCTCCTCGGGAGCAGCGGGTTAGAGTGAATTCTACACGAGTTGACACTGGTGCAGCGAGCAGTTCACACTGAACAGGGCCTGTGTGCTAACGAGGCGCCGCTGCGCAAGCCACCACCTTGGGCTACTATACACGAAGAGCTGGAATGACATTTTTTCTCAAATGAAAATCAAAATAACAAAAACTCCCCCAAACCTACCATTCTTAGTATTTTACGTGCTAAAAAAGCATGGAAAACCAGCAAGCAGCTGTTTCTGTACTCCCATGTCCTAGCCCGAGGTCAGCCTGTGACTTCTGGGTGTCTATTTGCTTAGGTGGCTGCATTGTTCTCCCACGGCGTTGACTCTGAGTGTGGGCAGAGACTGGAGGGAGGCTGGCCACCAGGCCGCCTCCAAAGCTGCGCTCTGCCAGAGCCTACAGGCCACAGTGACCCAGTGGAGCCTGTGTGTGAGTGGAAGAACAAGCTGAACTGACCGAACACCATCCAAACAGGACTCGGGTGTCTTTAGACAGCAACTGTTTGCCAGCACATGCTTTTGAGGTCTCTTTTCAAGATAGGAACTTGAGAGAAAAATAACTGTAACTCATTATTAGCACTAGGTTTCACATTTTCTGTAACTACACTGACCCAAAAGATACTTAACATAAAACTAGCACCAAGTGACCAAAAATGGTGAGACACACACACACACAGATTTGGTGACACAGAGTATCTTAGAGGGCTTTTCACTGTTGGTTTCTTCAAGCAGGAAACACTGAGAATGGGGAGCCACAGCGGCTCTCATTAGCACACGACATACGAAGATCGATATATTGCTTGCAATTCCCGTACAGTATAGATTTACAAAAAGTACAAATTCCAAGTTCTGCAGTTTCCCTGGGAACTGCCATGTAGAAAAAGTTGTTGTGCACCTGAACTGGCTGTTTGAAAAGAGAGAGAAAAAGGAAAAAAAAAAACAAAAACAAACCAAAACTGAACAACAACAAAAATCACAACACTGCTTGGAGAAATTTGTAGACAGAACTAGAAAGTCCTTTCCTTTAGTGCGAGCACTAACTCATGGCAGAGCGATTTGATCTAGTAACCTGGTATGCATGTTTCTACAGTACGGAATGAAGGTAGATTTGTAGGCCAGTAAAAACCTTGAAAACCACTGCTCCTTTGGGGTTGGCTAATATAACACTACACTATGTAAAAAGGTCAGCACCACAGGCTGTCCAGTGTGCCTACTGGACAACGAACAAAAATTCCAAATGGTTTCCAACTACAGTTGAAGAAATTTGATGGCATTTGGTTTGTTTGTTATGAAGCAGAGCTATGAACACTGTGATTTGCTTTGCTTGCGTGTGGACACGATGATTAATACAGAGGAAAACCCACTGACATTCTTCTGCAAGGGAAATAAAGGGGCAAAACTAACAGAGTAGGTAGGGGTGAGACAGAGGCCAAAGTTCTGCTCACATTGTATTAAATTATATATTCTTCTTACATTCACCTCAACCAGAATAAACTCAATTTTGAGAATGTATATATACTATATATATAATAACCATTTTATTATATATATATATAAATTGTTTACCCCCTAAAAGTCATTTTAAATTAGAAAAGGTTACCCATTTGTATCAGCTGACGGCATCCTAGTCTCTCTCGGACACAGGCTGAAGCCAGCGCCTGTGGTGAGAGATTACGCCTCTTGGCAGATAACGTAGGGTCAACCAGTTGGCATAGCTAAATCACTGGCAGATCTGGGATAAGAGTTCAGCCAAAGAGGAATACTGTCAGCCTGTGTTTTCCCTGGATACGTTGCCCTTCATGCTTTGAGCTCCTTGGGGGAGAAAGGGCGGGGGAAAGGATAAACACAACGAAGTGTTTCACCCGGAAACTGGAGAAAAACTGCCAAGAAACCAAGAGATTTCCAGATGGTTGGGAAAACCAAAGACTACAACAAAGCAAATCACAAATACGCATTGATTAATGTGCTTTGTTTGGGCGCACTTCTCTACCACCTTAATCAGGAGCATCAGACACTGTGTGAATTTCCATGCGGGAATCTAGGGCCATCTCTGAGGCCGATGCGTCATTTTCTAGTTTCTGTTCCACGTACACATCTGTTCTCTCGGGGGACTCTATGCGACTCCTGACCTCGGCGACACCTGGGTGGTTTTTCCGCAGGTGCTGGTTGAGGGTACCCTGGAATGGAAAGCACTTTCCACATATCTCGCAGCGGAACGGTTTGTCATCGGTGTGGCCCCGGATGTGGTATTCCAGCTGGTCTTTGCGCGTGTACTTCTTCCCACAGAACTTGCACACAAAGGGGGTGATCCCCATATGGAGTCGCATGTGCCTGTCCAAACTTCCCTTCTGGTTGAAGGACTTCCCACAGTAAATACAGATCAGCCTCTCATTGTATGGGTACCAGTGGCCTCTTGCACTCCTCTCCCGAGGACTGCTCTCATACCCAGGGTTGCTCATCACAGCTTCGCTGTCCGACCCCTGCACCATGCTTTGCAGGTCACTGTGCAGGTGAACAGACAGAGACCGTTTCTGGCGGGCACGCCCTCCTCGGAAACAGCTCAGCATAGACCTGGATGGGCTGGAATTACTCAGGCTTCCGAAAGCTTCTGAAACGCTGGATGGCTGGGAGGCTGCCTGGGAGTAGGAATAGGTGTGCTGGAGCACAGAGCCATAGGAACCCACGTTCACGGCCACAACCTGTTCCCCATCAACCATTTCTGTGTGGTACCCGTCGTCACCTAGAGAGGAGCTGTCAGAACAGCTGGGCCGGTCGGCCTTCTCCATCTTCACTTTCACTTCGGCAATCTGGCTCTCCCTCACCAACAGGTCCCCTTGCTCGTGGTCCCCCTCGATCTGAATCTCATACTCGGACACGCTCCCGCTGCTCCCCCGATCCGAGTGCCCCTCCTCCTGCAAGCGGCTCCGCAAAGCTTTGCTGGGGGTTGTTTCCATTCGGAGATCACCGCTGGCGGTGGGCTGCCGCACCTGAGGGCAGTATGGAGGGGAGATTTCAATGGGATTGGCGAAGAAGCTGCCATCTTTCACTCCGTTCCGGCTCTCAGGGTTCTCTTCAGCACCTACGGTGACAGAGTCAACGTCTCCAACACTGATCTTCGAATGGATGCTCTCCAGGATCTGCGTGCACTTGTCGATGACACACTGCATCTGAAGAAAGCTAGCTGCTGTCAGAAAGCTGACAACATCCTTCAGCTGTAGGGACATCCTTCCAGTGTAACAAAAGGAAAGCAACTGCTCAAACACACTAGGGTTCTTAATCACTGATATGGACAAGCCACTCATGGTACTTAATGCCGAATGGTCCCGGAAGTAAGGGGAGCTGGCGGCAAGGACTGCTTTGTGGGCTCGGAATGGTTGACCCTGAATGTGGACAATGATGTCGCATAATTTCCCCTGTAGGCGGAGTTCATTTAGTTGGCTCAGAACGGTGCTGCTGTACTCGGGCACATCAAACTGAATAAAACTGCTGCTGTCCATTTCTACTGACATGAGGTGTAATCTGCAGAAAGAAAGAGTTTTCATAACTCGCCAGTGACTCCTCCCAAAGAACAAGCCCAGTAATCACAAGCTTACCGCATCACACCGCAGCTAGCGCACTGCCTAAGGTCCGCCTCAACATCCTTCCTCCTGCTTAGCTCTTAGTCTTTCACCTAAAGCCAAATAATTGAATGATTAATTAGCCCAGGGTCATTCCTGCTCATCATTCAACATTTTTTTCTTTTTTGAGACAGGGTCACTCTGTAGCTCCAGCTGACCTGGAACTCCCTAAGTAGGCCAGGCTGGCTTTGATCTCACAGAGATCTGTCTGTCTCTGCCTCCTGAGTGCTGGGATTAAAGGTGTGCACTACCACACCTGGCTCCACACCTGGCTCCTTGCCCAGTTTTAAAAATTACCTTTTATTGATGTGGCAGGGGTGGGAGCCATGGTGCCTGCCCATATGGAAATGAGAGGACAGTCTGAGGGAGCTGGTTCTCTCCTACTATGCAGATCTCCGGGATCAAACTCAGATCATCAGGCTTGGCAGCAGCTGCCTTTACCTGTTAAATTATCTTGATGCTCCCCCACCTCCTTTTTTACCTGGGTGCTGGGATCAAAACTCAGGTCCTAGGCCAGGCATAGTAGTACATGCTTTTAATCCCAGCACTCAAGAAGCAGGCAGATGCTGTGAGTTCCAGCCCAGCCAGAGCTACACAGTGAGACCCAGCCTCAAACTTAACCAAACCAAACCAAACCCAAACCAAAAGCATCAGGTCCTCAAGCTTATGCAGCAAGCACTTTCTTAATGAGCCATCTCCCGGGTCCTACGTGTGCATTTCTAATTGCTATTTTTCAAAGGTCCAGTCCCCCAACACAATGAATGGAACAAATCCCTTTCCAGGGTTGTCTTATGTCTGCCCCTCTTCCTCTGCATACTTTTGTATGGTCCAGCAATGCTCAGTCCCTTCAGGTGAAGTTAACTTACTCAGAAGTAAGAAGGATGATGGACACACCGCAAGTGCAGCACCTTCCACCAGTGCTCACAGCCCTGGCACACCTGGGACAGCTCTGTCCCCTCCCCACCACCCCCACCTGAAATTTGTAGCAGTGGACCATCAAAACTGCAGAGGGGGTCAGCAAGACGGCTCAGCAGGTAAAGGCACTCACCACCAAGTCTAATGACCCGAGTTCAATCCCCCATGGTAGGAGAAAACTGACCCCCCGCCAAGTTATCCCCATAAGTGTGTGCGCACGCATGCACGCACACACACACACGCATGTACACACATACACAGAACTGACTCCAGGTTCTCTGATCTCCACAACTGCATACACGCATACATGCACACATACATACACACACACACACACACACAAACAGACTCCCAAGCTGTCCTCTGAGCTCCACAAGTGCACACACACACACACAAACTGACTCCCAATCTGTCCTCTGATCTCCACAAGTGCGCGCGCATGCACACACACACAGAACTGACTCCAAGTTCTCTGATCTCCACAACTGCATACATGCACACATGCACACATACACATGCACACACACACACACACACACACACACACACACAAATAACTGCTGAGGTAAACAGAACCTGGGGGTGCAAAACATAAGAATAGATCTAACAACTCTATTTTAGTTTAAAAACCCAATCAACAGAGGCTGGAGGGATGGCTAAACAGTTAAGTACATTTGCTGCTCTTGCAGACAACCTGTGTTCAGTTCCCAGGACCTACATGGCGGCTCACTTCCAGGGGATGCAATGCCCTCTTTTGGCCTCTGTAGATACTGTACACCTGTGGTCCACAAACATAGATGCAGGTAAAACACACATACACCTAAAATTTTTAAGAATCCAATGAACAGATTTTGTTTTTGGAGACAGAGCCCCACCCTGTAGCCTGTCTGGCCTCATACTCTGGATTCTCCTGCCTGAGCTTTGTGAGTGCTTGTAACAGGGTGTACTGTACCATCATACCTGGCCAACAACAGAAAGTGAAACACTTGAATCAGAAGAAAAATCAAAATGGAACAGAGTTCTTAGAAAATGAGAAAACACATGAAAGCTTCAGGAGGAAGAACTCAAGAGTAAGTCTGCCCGTGTCTCCAACTCACTTGAGAACTAACTCCAAAAGCCAAATGGACAGGTAAGTGACAGAGGGGACATGGTAAAGTTAGCAATGGCAGACAGGAAGAGAGTGTGTGCTGTCAGTTCTCTCAACTTTTCTGCATGTTTGAAGTTTTTCATAATAAAAGTGTTGGGGATTAGAAAGCATCATCAACAACAAAGTACAAGGGAAGCCACTGCCTTAATATTTTTATCCTTAAACAATAAACATTGAAAATAAAAAGCTGGGCCTGGTAGAGTACATCTTAAATCCCAGCACTTTGGGAGGCAGAGGTAGGCACTGTGAGTTAAAGGCTAGCCTGTTCTATCTACATAGTGAGTTCCAGGCTAGCTGGGGCTACAGGGAGACTCTATCTCAAAAAAAAATAAATAAAAATATGTGAAATGATTCAACTCAGAAGGCTAGAAAAACAGTGAAGGCCAAAGAAAGCAAGAAAATCATTAACTAGCACATAACCAGAGAAAAAATTAAACATTTTAAGGCAGGTCTAAATTTAAGACTCTTGCAGGAAAGGATCAATCAGTTAGTTTGACTAGATCACATCAGAATTCTTTTTCAATCTTGTCAAAATTTGAGTTAAAACATTTTAGTCCAAGAGGAATGTTGTGCCTTTATTTATCCTAGACTTCTGATTGAAATCAATTTGAAATCTGCATGGAATGGACATATTTTTAGGATAACATAAATTGGCAGAACTGAATGAAAAAGAAACAGAAGTGCCAAGGCACAAATGATCTCCAGGCCGTTCACACTGTTCTAGACACATGGAGAAACATTTGAAGCATTTCAGTTCATCTGGCACAGATCTGACAGCAAAGGACGACAGACAGCACAGAGAAGAGCACTGCCTGCCTCATCTACATTGGTCTGAGAACCCGCGTGCAAATACCCAGAAATATGACTTATTAAAAGAGGAATCAGCTTTCGCATTGTAAGGATGGCTGAGTGTTAGGACACAAACTAAGACAATCTGTAACACCAGAAAGTCAGAGGAGAAAAACTATAACCGAAGCAAAGATGTATGATCCCAAAGATGCATCTGAGTCATTAACTGTCCTTTCAGAGTAACAAAAAAAAAATTATCTCCTGCCTGGCACTGTTTCTTGTTATGTAGCCTTTAGCTATACACATGGACTTATGTAGAAAATGTATTTATGATTTGCCAGAAGGCAGTTAGACTAACATGGTTCCCTTTGATTTTTTTAAAACCAGCTAGGCATTATTATCTCTCCTCTCTCTCTCTGTCTAACCCTTCCACCACGGTTTCCCCAATTAAGATGCCCCCATTTCTCCCTTGATAATACCCATCACGAATAGTCCCACCTCTCTTGAGCTCTTTCTTTCCCTTTATCCCCAAGGTCATTTGTATAACCCTCCCTACCCTGTCCCATTTAAATAACCCCATTTTTATCCATTTCTCCCTTGGTAACACCTGTTTCTTACTGTTCTTCTCTCTCATGTTCTTTCTTTTCCTTTACCTCCCTGGTTCCTTTTCATTATCCTGGTTCCTGTAGTTATGTCTGGATACATACTTACTTATAAGGATTTGGTGCTAGGATCCACATATGAGGGTGAACATACACCATTTGTTTTTCTGAGTCTGTGTTACTTCACTTAAATCACAATAAGCTAGAAATACAATAACACTTTTAAAAGTATATAATAAGCAGTACCTACTACAAACCAATGACAACATCATCTTTAAAAAGAAAACATGCCTTTCCCACAAAGTATTCAACCGAACATGAGGTGGCCCCAATAGCCTAACCTCCTAGGGATTAAGAACACATTAGCATAATTGCCCATGTGAAAGAGTCCTGCAGACAAGCATTCTGTTTGACTCAGCAGTCTGCAAACTCACTGAACTGTGGAACTCCTCTCTCAAGGTAGGAACATTAGTACTCCAGAGAATCAGTGCTCCCTGGAGCACATTCTGGTAAACACTTCAGTAAGGCATTCCCATCAGGGCTTGGAAGATGGACAAGGCTTCCCCCACTGCCACTCTTAAAGAGCATTGAACCTCTAGTCAAAGTGAAGGCAGGACAGTGGTGAGTTACAGGGACCGGCCAGCAGCAGAACTGTGGGTGACTAGGAAGACAAGCCAAGAGCCAGCAGGAAGAAAAATACACCATCTTTTAAATTTACATTTAGAGTGTGTGTGCATTCGCATGTGCTACAGTGAGCAGAGGTCAGAGAACAACTTGCAGGACTCTCTTCTACCATTCAGGGCCTGGGAACTGAACTCAGGCCATTGAGCTTGGCAGTAAGCACCTTTACCTGCAAAGCCATTCCATTTGCCCACATTATCTTAATGAGGCAGTTTTTACGTATAAATGAAAAGAACATCTTGGCTGGAAGACTCAATGTCTTCCACTGTCTTCTAAGACAGATTTACAAATAGATGTGGGCAGTGGAGTACTCTGCTAAGTTTCTAACAAAATGATTCTAAAAGTCATTTAGAACACTCATGTCCAACAGAAACACACACCGAATGTTTAATGTTTTCTAGTAGTTACCACCCCCACCCCTAGCAGAGTGCTAGATACAGAACTGGAACCTTGAGCACTGCTAGTGTCGCACTCCTGAGTGGCACCTTAGCCCTCAAGCAGTTACACTTTTAAAACTAAAAAATAGCGGGCGTGGTGGCGCACGCCTTTAATCCCAGCACTGGAGAGGCAGAGACAGGTGGATCCTCTGTGAGTTCGAGGCCAGCCTGGTCTACATAGTGAGTTCCAGGACAGCCGGGGCTACAGGGAGACCCTGTCTTAAAAAACCAAAAAAAGTAAAAAATAAACTGCACCATGTATTTTATTTAACCCAGTGTGGCAAACATTACCACAGCATGTAATTAATATTAGACACAAAGGCATGAGACATTTTAAGTTCTTTACTGCACACCCAATATTTGAAATGTGATCCATGTATGACACGTTTCAAGTGCCCAATAATCATATGTGGCTATCAAATTGGGCACTGCACCTCAGAAAGAATAAATACTAAGGAAGTTTTAGAAAAATACAGCCAGATTGAATGTACGATTGGGCTGTAACTCTGTTGGTAAATATTCATTGAGTGTCTTCTATGCCAGGCATTAGGGACCCAGGGGACTTATATTTCTT